CAGAAAGAAAAACAATCAAAGTCATAAAAACAGAGAATAAAGACAAAAGGTGTTTTAATCATTTAATATTGTAAAATAGTTGTAAATTTTACTTCTTCCATTGTATTTATCAATATTTATAAAAAATGTATTACTTTCAACATAGCTAGATTAAACTGCTCATCGCAGTTTGCAAAACATTTCAACTGTACTGACTCAGTAGAAAAGTTATGATCGTATGTTGGCTGTATGTTCGGCTATAGTAGAAATGAGTTCTACTGTATTGATTCTGTCAGTATTCGATCGACTTTGACAATCAATGCAACCAATAACGCCTGGAAACCCAGTTTCAAGAATAGCTCTTTTTTTAATTCGTGCGACAAACAGTTGAATGATTGGTGGGATTTCACGCTTATTTTTTCGCAATGTCCCTACAACGGTTAGTTTGTATTTTTTCAAAAGGGTCAAAGCTAAATCGTAACTAGAAAACCAATTATCATCTGTCAAGTTTCTATTAGATCCGGATACTGGAGCTATCATTCTTTGAACTAAATCTATCGGGTTGTTTGCCACTGTAAATTTCTAGGTTCAATGTATAAAAAACTTTTGAGTCAACTAATGCAAAAATCTTTATACCATACTTTGATGGTTTATTGGGTATGTACTAGCGAAAGGAACATCGAGCGAAGATCCATCAATATCAGTATCGTTGTCACCAACCTCTCTCAAAAGCCTAAATATGTTGGTCATTTCTGCTTCAGATGCCATTGTAGTTAATTTATACAAAATAATATAGTTAATAATTAATACAGTTAAATAGATATATAGCAACAGAGAAAAATTAAAACAAATTTTAGTTATAAAAATAATAAAACATAAACACGTATGTGGGGTATTGAAAACACCCCAAGCTGATAATAATGTTATCGTACCTCACTTATTATCATAAATATTATTTTTATGATAAGAAAGTAAAGTGTTATACTTGATAAAAAAGTACCAATTGTCTCAACTTGTAATAATATTTAATTTCAATTTTTATATCAGTGGGGTGCTTAGAGCAGCACCCCTGGATACCCAATTAAAGGTTAATATGTTTTAAACATTTTATAATAAACACAGTAACTGTATATAGTATAATTGGTTCTTACTTCGTTATGTTGTATTTAAGGATATTTTTATTTATTTTCGACTTCATCTAAATATAGTTTGAAATAGGCCATGGTATATTGTTATCATTATCATAAACTTCATTAGCTGCACCTTTATTACAGTTAATTATAGATTCCTGTAGTTGTGCCATCATACTATTAATTTTATCCAACGAATATGATAAAACTTTTACTTCATATTTTATGTTAGTTAATGAAGTTTTTACAAATTTTTGAAAATCTAAAAAAAAACCTATGTTAATTGCGCGCGGTGTATCATATTATCTCCAAATGTCCTATCCTGATTATCATGGATTTGATCACTTATTACATCAGTCCTAGCTAGGTCTACAAATTCAAGAGTAGAATATAATTCTAGAATTATTAACTATACAATACATAAAAAAGGTAAAATTTGTTTTTTTTTTAACTTTGTAATATTATACCTGGAGGTTTGAAAACTGGAGTACTAGGCGAACTTTAGTTGTTTTGTTGTTGTGGTTTTTGAAAGTCTTTTTCATTAGATTGAAGAGTTTGATCTAAAAAAAATTACAAATACACCATATAAATATTTTTAAAACAAATTTGTTTTAAATAACATGACAGATAACTACCAAGTTTATTAGCTAGCGGTTATATTCTTTAGTTGGTTTAAAAAGTGGCTTCTTTATTTTAGTATGTAATTGATCATTTTTTTCTAGAAGCTTCTAGAGTCTTTCTAACTTGTCGCTGTCACGTTGAAATTACTTTAGTTGTAAAACAAGTAGTTTCTAACAATGGGCCATGGTTATGCACTTTATGTTGCAATTTAGTATTAGCAGAATTCACGAATATGTGTCGTCGCCGTTTAAATATTTTTTCGTTATGACGTCGAATTACTTGTTGTAATGGTTTGTGGTGTTTTCTTAATGCTGATTTTAAAATCTTCATACAATTTTCAAATGAAAAACAGCTACATGAATCAAGTGGTCCAAAATGTTAATAATCTTCTACTATGTTCAAAATCAAAAAACTTTAAGCCAAGTGGAAATGATTGAGTAAATATTTGTTGTCAACTTCATCCTCCTTGCCTTTAATTTGAAAAATCTGTTATAATTTTATCTAAATATAACTCTTGTGCTTTGTGGTTCTATGTTTAAAACTGCAATATTTGATAATCGGTCTTGACCCATTGAGTTCCCTAAGTTAATATGATTGCTTAATGTTGATATAGGGGAGATCGTGTTCGAACCCTGCACCACCGGCGACTAGGCATCCGATCCCACCGCCGCAGTAACGGTGTTTTTCTTTTGTTGTGCTTCCATATCTAATTTTAGTAGTTTTTTCTTGGGGTTTTTTTCCGCAGGCTGAATGTCATGCAACTGCGGAGACTTCCTTAAACTTTTTATATTTTAGAGAAAGATCTTTTAGCAGAAGCAACTGTAACTGGCAAAGGACAAAAAAATAATACAAGCTACTAAAACTTCGGAATAGCTACAGGAAAAATCATTTTCTAAAATAAATAACAGCCTTGACAGTGGTAGCCCCGATGTTTTCCAATATTTTACACCATTGAGAAACGAAATTTAACAAATTGCTATTTTCATTTTTTCTCTCATAATAGCTAGTCGTGACGGTAACGGAGGGGGCTTGGCAGAAACCTTCACGTGGTGCCCCTGTTAACGTTGTATCCTCACAGCGAACTAATTCTGCCAACACCGGTGCTAAAACTGCCAATAAATAGCCCCCTTAAACGGTCCTTTTCAGGACCAACCTCTGTTAATGCCTCGGCATTTACAGTTCTAACGCAAAACATCGAAAGTTTCTCAGCATGTAAAGGCGAGCTCCTTGCTACCTTATGCGCGGGGAGTCAATGTGATGTTTTGTGTTTGCAAGAGACGCACCGGTACGAAACTAGTATCCGTCCAAGAATACCGGGAATGAACCTAATTATTGAATTACCTAATGCACTCTACGGCAGTGCAATATTTGCTAGGCCGGGCCTAGTCATATTAATTTATTGTTAACATTATGACAGTTTATTTTCAATCATAATTTATTTATTTCGTATACCTTATAGGGTACATGACGACGTTGAACAAAGCGAGAATGAACAGATAGCTATTTCAACTGGTCAAACAGTCTCTACACCCAATGGTCAAACAGCCTCGACATCCACAAATCAGTCTCAAAATCCACTGATCAAACAGCTTCGACATCCTCTAATCAAACAGCCTCGACATTCACTGATCAAACAGCCTCGACATCCACAGAGTCAACTAACCCTCTGTTTCAAAAACGTTTAAAACGAACGTACAACACAAAAGCAATAAAAGATAGGCCATTAAACAAAGAACGCAAAGAACTGATAACACATGGCATTTGTGAAGTTATTACTAGTGACTTGCTGCCTTTTTCCTTTGTTGAAAATGAAGGATTTAAAAAACTTATGAAATTGGTTGAACCTGTCTATCAGATACCGTGTCGAAAAACAATAAGTAATCGTATTGAACAGTTATACGAAGATAAAGTAAACGACACAAAAACTTATCTCGAAAATATTAACGGTATCGCTCTAACTACTGATGGCTGGAGTTCAATGGCTATAGACTCTTATATCACATACACTGGTCATTATTTTGATAAAAATTGGATATTGCGTAGCTTAACATTATCAATTGACGGAATCTTAGAATCCCATACGGCTGACCACCTGAAAGACGACATTTTGGAGGTTGTGGAAAAATGGCATTTGTCTAATAACGTCACTGGCATTACACATGATAATGCATCAAATATATCAAATGCAGTCAAAAGTTTGGAAGACGAATACAATTTATACTCAAATAGATGCGCAGCACACACAATCCATTAGCCATTAAGAAAGGTCTTAATGGAAGTGTTTGTAGTCGGATATTAAAAGTAGCGTCTTCGATTGTTGCTGCGTTTAGACAATCTCCTAAGCGATTTAATGCATTACAGCTATATTTACAACAGACGGGTCAAAAACAGTTAGCTCTGGTGCAAAGTTGTCCCACTAGATCATAGGTTCCCAACGGGGGCGGTATCGCCCCCTTGTGGGCGTTGGAGCTCTTTGTGGGGGCGGTAGCAGATCCAAAGAAAAATGGGGGGTATTATGACAGTCAAGGGGGCGGTCGCGGTGTACCTACTTGGTTTGAAGTTCAATATATAATAAAATACTTTCAAAATATACCTATCCATTTTTATGGTTCGTCGTGACCGTGAAAACGAAAAGTGTCCCGGCGGCGGCGGCGGTGGTCGTTGCCCGCGGCGGCCGTGGCCCAGTTCACGCCGCCCGCGGTGGCGCCAACGGGGCGCGACCTAACGGACAGTTGGGCAAGCAGGGGACGCGGTCGCCATCCGGCGGTGACGGGTGTAGTTAGCACCCGTCATCCGTCTGAGTCGCGGTGTGGCCGCGTCAATGGTATATAGACTAGATAACTTATTGATTCGTTTTAAAGCTGTCGGTAACAAGTCTATGCAAACGCTAAGCAAAGACGTGATTACGCAATCAAATAAATTCTGAAGTTAAAAGCACCGGCACCGCAAACAAACAAACGCATACAAGTTGCTGCGTGTTCGAAATCTATTTATTAAAATGCAGGGAGAGCTTTTCTAGTCTTCTACTATCAACTATCTTATTGTTTTTGTGCGCTTCGACAGTGACCTACTCTTACGCGGACTGATAAAGTAAAGAAGCCGTTATAATATTTAGTTTTATATTTTTTTATAATTCACAAAATGTCTGAAACTAAAAAAAAATGTCGTCAGTACAATATTGAATATTTAAAATATGGATTTACGAAATCTCCCACAAACCAATTATTACCAATGTGTTTAATTTGCCAGAAAGTATTCTCAAATGAAGCCATGAAGCCTTCTAGACTCCAAGAACACTTGAATAAAATTCATGCTGATAAGAAGGACAATGATTTATCCTATTTTCAAGGACTTGAAAAGAAATATTTAAAACAGCCAACTATATCGAACCTTTTTGCATCGTGTTCTAAACAAGAAAATGATGGATTACGAGCTTCATATAATATTTCATTATTAATTGCAAAATCGGGAAAACCACACACAATTGGTGAAGAATTAATAATCCCGGCAGTCAAGGAGGTAATTGAAACTGTCCTTCATCATAAGACTCCATCAGATATCATCAAAAAAATTCCTTTGAGTAATAATACAGTACAAAGAAGAATCGATGAAATGGCTAAAGACGTTGAACTATCATTATGTGAGTACTTACAGACGTCCAAGTTTTCCATTCAACTCGATGAATCAACATTACCAAATAATGAAGCACTACTTTTGGCTTACGTCCGATTCATAAAAGAAGAAAAAATTTGCCAAGAGTTATTATTTGCAAAAAATTTGGAAACCGATACAAAGGGAGAATCCATATTCAATACCATGCATGTTTTTTTTTTCAAGAAAAAGGAATTCCCATTAGAAATATTTTGTCAGTTGCTACAGATGGTGCTCCAGCAATGACGGGACGTCATAAGGGTTTCATTGCGCATTTAAAACAAGCAGTACCAAATGTACTCGCTGTACATTGTGTTATACATCGTCAGCACTTGGTTGCAAAAAATCTTAATGAACGCCTGCATACGTCGCTCCATTACGTTATTAGATCTGTTAATAAGATAAGGAGCAATTCATTAAATGACAGATTATTTGGGCAACTTTGTAGTGAAAATGATGAAGACTATAACCGCTTGTTGCTGCACACAGAAGTACGATGGCTATCGAAAGGTGTTTGTCTCAATCGATTTTTCAATCTATTCCACTCAGTGTTGGACTTTCTTGAAAATAGAGACGATGAACTGCGTGGAAATTTGATTGCGTCCAAAAATGACATAGCTTATATGACAGACCTTTTTAAAATATTTAATGAAGTTAATTTACAATTGCAAGGTGATGAGTTGAATTTGATAAAGACCAAAAATGTCATAGCTGCTTTTGTGGGAAAACTTCTTTTATTCAAACGAAATCTAGGAAGAGGTGAATTCCTCAATTTTCCGACATTATCAGCATTATCGGTAGGAAAAGAAGATTTAATGACTTACTGCCAACACCTGGGCGCTCTTCATGTGGATTTTACAGAGCGCTTCCAGGATATTTTAAATATGAGTATACCAAGCTGGATTTTAGACCCTTTCGAAAATGCGGGTACAGCAGAATCATCAAATTTAGAAGAAGAACTCATAGAACTCACAACAAATGAAGAATTAAAAGTGAAATTCAGAAACGGATACCAAGAGTTCTGGCTCCAAAAATCAATATCAACTCTTCACCCTGGGTTGTGGGAAATAGTACAGAAATTTTTGATTGCATTTCCTTCATCATATTTGGTTGAGCGTGGTTTTAGTGCAGTAGCTAATTTGCTATATAAGAAAAGAAATAGACTGCAAATCACTGAGCGAGGAGATTTGCGACTGGTGTTAACTAAAATGAAAACGTTAACAGATTGTTAAATCTGCATCAACCTCAACCGTCTCATTAATAATTTTATTTCTTATTGACTTTTTTTCATTATATTTCTCTATTATCTAATAATTTCGATTAATTGTCTTGTTTTTGCTTCTACGAAGTGCTCCACAGTCTTCATCTGAATTAAATGTTTTTTTTATCATAACATGTATTATGTATTTGTATAAACAGACCTATGAAATTACTATAATAAATAACTTTTTTGAAAAGGGGGCGTTGGAATTTCTTTTTCTTGAAAAGGGGGCAGTAGTCCATAAAAGGTTGGGAACCTATGCACTAGATGGAATTCGTCCTTAGCAATGTTGGAACGTTTGCTTTTACTGCGCAGGGCTGTTGTGTCAGTCTTATCGGATCGAGAGCACTTCAATGTAAAAACCGCAAAAAAATTAAAAATGTTGGAAGACAACTGGGACAAATGTGAAATCCTCGTCAAGTTGTTAGTCTCTGCAATTAACCACGACAATACCATGTTCAGAGCAGCAAATAACGATATCAATGGTAAATATACAACATAATACACATTTTGTTTTTCAATAATATAAAAACATGTAAAGCTTATTTGTTGTATTTCAGGTTCGACCACTTATTGCAAGTCTTATGAGCAAACATTTGAAATTGAACGAATCGGACTGCATGTTTGTTACAGGATTTAAAAACGTAGTTGCCGAAGATTTATCCAAACGATTTTTAATGAAAGAAGAAGATTTAGATGACATACCGGTGAATGTAACACAAATGGGAAGTCTGCTCGATCCTAGATATAAAAATCTCAATTTTAGACTATCCGAGCAAATTAAAACCCGTATTTGAGGAACTGTGCGATATCATCGGTTTTGACGACTGCAGGCAGTAATAACATTCAAATTGTAAAACCAACAATATTAGACGAGCTAATGGGCCACTTTTTTGAGGATGATGAAGACGAATTTACTTGCTATTTGTCAGAACTATAATGAGAATCCTTCTTTGTGGTGGAAATCACGTGAAAATATATATTCCACTGTGTCGATTCTAGCAAAAAACATATTATGCATTTCCGCTTCATCAGCATCGTCTGAACGCGTATTTTCGACAGCTGGTAATATTGTAACAAAGCGAAACAGAATGACTCCTTACCATTTATCAGCTTTGGTGTTTTTGAAAAACGCGCTTTAAAATGACCAAATTTATTATTATTATTATTATTAAAAAATTGAAAATATAATTATTATAATATGCTATTTATAGGTACCTAATTTATAACAATTATTATTATTAAAAACATTTATTATACCGACTATTATAATATTAAGATTATTTATTATTGTAATAAATTATTTTCTCTTTTCTGCTGACTGTTAAGTTTACAATTTGCAGACAATAATTATTATTATTGTTATTGTTATTATTATAGAATATTATTTACAATTATTATTCGCAGGGCCGTATTAAGGCATAGGCATTGTAGGCACTGTGCCTAGGGCCTACGAAAATGTGTGGCTACGGCTTATTTGTAATATTTTATTTATTTTTTATTATTTTTACTATAAGTTACTGTACACAAGTAATGATTATGTTAAGATTTTGCAGTAAAAAATAATAACATTACTCTTATATTTACACTCAATGTTATCATAATTACCTATAAAAATCAGACTGGAAAAACCGATAAAATGTCGTTCGCATACGACGGTGTATGAAAACCCCATAACTGTTTAGTAAGTTTAGTATTTTAGGAATGATTTCTGAACATAGTATATTTATCGTACCAATTTTATTGAAATCATAGATTATATAGTCTTATGGTCAAAATTATTTCAACATAATATAACATTTCATTATTCTTGATCCTTATCAGTTGTCCACAGAATATTGCTTATCGCCAATCCGGCATAGTTACTTTACACGGAACAATCTCTTAACAGGTATTTTAAAATCCAAATCTAATTTACGTTAAAACAAATTAATCTTAACATTATATTATAATTAAGTTATAAAAATGAACTGTCCTAATGTCCTATAGATGTCAGTCAGGCTGTGTTTTTTTTTATTTGAATACTTGAATTTTTTATTTTATTTCAATAATTTATTAACATTGACAAATCACAAAAGACTATAGAGTTCTCTAATTTTTTTTGTAATGGTCAATCGTACAAGTTAATCGTATGTTATATTAGTATAATAGTATTGGTAAATTTGATAAATTATTTGTGTGATGATTTATTATCATTTAATTTGAATTTAAATAATAATATGATCTTAATGTAATTAAATATTTTATTAAAAATAAAAAATAGAATAAAATATACACAAAAAAAATATATATGAAACAATTTTAAGTATTTTCCACGTAAACAACTTTTCTGTGTAATTATCGTCCTATTTTCTACCCTACTGACTAGTGACTGCTGTTATTTAATTATTATCATTTACACCTTTAAAGTTATATAATATACTTATATAAATGTTTATGTTTGCATTATTGGAATAGACGTAATATTAAAATGTCCGATGGATACAAAAGGACGCACGAAAGTGGTTTTAATAAAAGGAAAAAAAAGAAAACCGTGATTTATATGTCAGTAAACAATCGGGGTCCATGTTCAAATTCATTGCATCTCAAAATCTTTCTAATGCAGGTATAAGAACAAACCAAACTGAAATTATACAGTACTGCCTAGGCGAACTCGATGTAAACCCAAATTATGAGGGCTAATATAGCAAACTGTTACCACTCTCTACCATAAGTAGACTAGTTAGAATTAAATAGGTCATTAATGGGTCGATTTTTCAATTTACATAATTAAGTCAGAGGGATAGGCAGTCTTATTAGTTATTATTACACTTAAATTACTAAACCATTCCTATTAATCATACTAATTCAGTTAAGGGTAGAAGCTGGGTTGATAAACCAGTACTTACGCGAGTCTGGAGTGTGCCCACTGCGCAAGCTCCGACTTTGCTGAGATGCGACGGATGAACCGGGGCGTTGGTAGACAGTTCTCGTCGCACTTTGGTAAGCCCTCCCCGCAGGATAGGGTTTCCCGTCGCCCATGCGTCCAGTTTAGGGACCCCTGGACCGTCGCTGCACCTAATTTTTATTAAGACCATATATTAATTTTAAAAGCAAATATTATAAACGTGGATAAAAAAAAATAGCAATCAACAAAATAGGTAGGTAGGCTGAATGAGATACAGGAAACTGGTAGCACGCCACAGAATACCACAAAATGCCGTACTTCGCCACGGAAAGCCACACCCATACTATATAACAGACACAAGTTAGTCCTAACACATGATGTCACTCGATGTCCAATTAATCCAATTTTTGTTTAAAGTGTTTTTTTTTTCGAATCTCTACGGCTTGTTTATCGGATTTATCCCTGATTATGTATTTTTTGATCTCTATCTTATACGCAATATGTAATAGGAATTCCAAAGTTCTGATATGAGCGTGTAGTATGGAAAGGCCAAAACCACATTCAAGTTTTCGACTTTCAGAAGAAGCCAGTGGTTTGTTGTCATAATTCATCGTTTTAGAAATTGCACCACAAATATAACATTTTTGTGTGGATTTTTCTTCCAATAAAGAGGTACAGACCTTTCCATTTACCATGGTTAACAAAAAATTACAAGATACTTAAATCGGTTTGTCGTCAATTAGAATTATAGAAGGACTTAATTGAGGTATCTTTTCTGTGGTTTTTTTTTAAATTCATCACGAGTTAATTGTGGGGTCTCTTTTTCGTATAAAAACTTGAAGGCTCGGCAAAATCTTGTTGAAGCAGATGATGGGTTTTGCCGAGCAATACTAGGTGTTAAGTCACTGTTAAGGTATATCAACCTCAATGGTACAAAGGAAAACAAAAATAAAAAATCATAATTTCCTTCTTCATTCAAAAATCTTTGCTTATACCCACTGTGGCCTGAGCTCCCATCAGCTCCCTATTTCAGATCTAACGTAAACTTATCTGGGTCATTCTTCAATTTTGGTGCTATTTAGACATCAAACTTTTTCGGAAATCAAAGTCGACTGTTTTGATTTTTTTCATTTTCATTACCTTCAGGAAATGCTCCTTGCCAAATTCCTGAAGCAGGCACACACTTAATATCATAGTTTTCGTGATATTGATTTTACTTAAAAGTCTGGTTCTAGGGAGTGACGTATACGACTAGGGAGAGACAAAACGAAATAAAAACCTCTTCACAGTATCAATTTTAACAGAAAATATTTATTTAGCAGTCTTAACATTTTATCATATACTACTTTTAGCATGAAACATATTATCACTGAAATCGCAGTGTATCAGCACCTCATCTGCGTTCATTCTACTTTTGAGAACTTTTATTGAACGGAACATATGGACTACGATACCCTCATGATACAAATACGGGATAATTTCTTTTTCAAAGGTATCAACAGCTTCTAAGGTGGATACATTAACTTTCTCCTTAATAACATATTTGGTCGTCCTCTTCTTTCTTGTCCTCTTATCTATGAACGTGTCAATTTTAGTTCCCCAACGCTCGTAAGATACTATATCTCTACTGTCAAACATCAAGTAATGTACTTTATTATCTTGGCAGTCAAGGCAGTGTATCTGCAGACATGAGACATTACGCACATCACAACACAACTCTCGAACAACTTCTATTGAATTTCGTTTGTCTATTAGTCCACCTCTATGCAACCCTATAATTAGGTAATCAATATTGCCGTTGACCTTGCATAAACATGTATCTCGGTCTGATGCCTTAAGCTTTACAACCCAGAAGGGTTTCATTCGGCAAAAAGACGAATAACTTATTTTTTTTATTTTATAATTTACTAAACCACAAAACTTAGTATACAGGTTTTTTAACGTGTCTGAAAGTACTCTCTTGTTTTTTAACTTTTTTTCTTGGGCACAACATGGTATTTTCATCATCTTCAAAAAATAAACGAACATCGCATTCAACGTTGGAAGAAATTCGTTTAATTCGAAGGCGCACAAGTGAATTATTG